ATTTAAAAAAATGCGTTTTTGGGCTCTAGATAGTTCATGGTGCTCTTAAACATTTCATTTGATACCAAGTGTGCATTTATCTGTTCTGTACTATCATTTTCATTACATGGTTCAGTTTAACGTGGAGTGTTGAGCACAAGTTTCTTCATGTACAATCTGCATAGCACACACTGTGATCTTATGAATGAGTCTGGACCGCATGTGTGAGATTTGGGACGGCTGTCATCTGTTGGTAAGGTAACCTTGAATGTGAATTGACCTACATTTAGATAACATTAAACAGCAAAAAAAATTTAAAATAGTTTGGTTCGTCTTATACTTTTGTTCGAAACCTATTTGACTCGAACAATTAAGCATGCGGGTTTTCTCGTAACCTGGTGCCTACGATCAACTGGCTTGGGTTAACCAGCCTAAAGCTCATTACGAGGTCAATTTAGTCGCTTAATGGACCAGAGTCTGCACATAAGATGCAATATTTGAGAAAAGCGACATAAAAAAATTATATGCTCAAATTCAGGGGAAGAAATGAAAAATATTTATGTAATTGAGCTCGTTATCAGGTCCTAAAAATCTTATGAGTTTAACATTCATCAGTAAGGAAAATACTTATTTAACAGTGATGTTCGTGTGTCATTTCTCACAAATTTAAGGTTTGAAATCATATTCACGAGAAAACAGTAGCACTTAACACACGTGAGTCACTTATACACTTTCCTCCATTTTAAACTTAATTCAGTACGTGGGGAATTTTTTTCTTGATAATGCATTACTTGTGAGGGCATGCATATTTGAGTTAATATGTATGTCAGAGGCTACATTTACAAAATGAAAGTGCTATTTTATTTATTTTCAAAAATTCAGTACTATTTTTATCAATAAGTTTTCGCCAGGAAATGCTCAAGTGATAAAAGCAGAAGCTTCGTTGCTCGCTTCTCGCTAGACCCTCGCTCGAGCGACAAGCCGTATTTTTGAATTTTAACTTTATTTTTAGAATTTTTCGCACTTTATTCCCATTTTTTTCTTTGATTCCTCTCAAATTTCACCACCCATATTCAATTTTGGATTTTCTCACATTTTGAACATCACAAATCATTCTTTTGTGGGGCCATTTCATCAAATCATCGAATTTCAAAGGTATATCCCTAAAACCACTTTTTTTTTTTCATTTTTGCATTTGTTTTTGGGGCTTTTGATTTTTGGCCGTTCTTGCTTCAATTTTCGACATTTACATTTCATGTTTGTATGATTCACATACAATGTCATCACTCATTGCATTATTTTGATCCGAACATTGGATTTTTAGACTATTTTGGTGCGATTTTCTTTAGGTTTATTGATGTTCTTCACTCCATTTGTTCATTTTTATTCGGTTTGTTAATAAATGTTGCATTAGCATTTGTATGTGGTTTGTGGTTGGTGCTTTGGTCACTTGTAGGGTGAGTTTTGTGTTTGAAGTTGGTTGAAGTGTTGAGGTTAGAGTGCTTTGGTTCAATTTTTGGGTGTTTTGTTGATTCCAAATTCATGATTGATGGAGATTGGATTATGTGTCGTTGGGTGGTAGTTGTGTAGTTGAGTGATGTTTTTAATGTCAACGTGGTTGGGCTCTTTGTTTAGATTACTCGCGCCCCGTTTTCGGTATACTGTTCTATTTTATTTCTTCATCGTGTCATTTCGTTTATTTTCATTCTCTCACTTTGATCACCCTAGGTTTGTTGGTTTATGATGTGTCAATGTTAGTGATTTTAACATTTGATGTTAACACCACGAGGTGATTTCATGTTACCACGGCATGTCGCCATGGCACACATCACGTCATTGCGTCTCCCACGTCATCACGTCTCAATGCCAGGGTATCATGTTACGATGTCCCGACGTCATTGCATCGCTCACCTCCGTCTAGGCATCACGACATTTTTTTTGTGTGCATTCTTCCAAGGGTGCGTTACATATGTCCTGTTTGTCTCGATTTGCGTACATTCATACATTTCACGCAATCATATGTTCAGTCGTGGTATTGATCTATTAGTTTTATCCGTTTCAGATGCCGCCTAAGAGAGCTCGTACTGCTACTCCGACACTTAGTACCTTATCTTCCTACAGTAGGTCTAAGTTTGTCTCAGCCACTGCCCAAGACACCTTAGGTCCCAATTTTCCTTAAGACTTGTTTTATTTGAGCGCAAGGTCATTTTGTCTGACTTGTCACCCAACCTTGTTGCTATTTTCACTTCCCGGGGATGGGAGTCTTTACTGGTTGAGTTGACACCTCCTCCTAGCCTTCTCATTCAAGATTTTTATTCTAACATTCATGATGTTAGTGGTTCGAATTTTAGAGGTTTTTTTCGGGGTAGGACAGTCAGGATTACACCCGATGTCTCATCGAGTCTAGTGCATATCCCTAAGATTGTTCATCCTTTATTCTCTTACTTTTTTATTAATACTCTTCCAGTGGACTTTCTTGTCCATTCTAAAGTTTTTAATACTCCATTGGAGGGTGGTCCAGGTGAGATGCGTACTAGATCTCTTTCTACTGATCACCATATTCTGTTGCACATTGTGTGCACAAATCTGTGGCCCGTGTGACATACCTCTTCTTGCCTAGGGAGAAGGCTCGATTTTTATATGCCTTGCTGCATGACGATTTTATTGATCTTCGGGCTTTTAGAGTCAAGAGGACGGGGTGGGGCAGCCGTATGCTCGTTTGATTTATCGGCTCGTTTGATTTATCGGTTGGTGACAGCCTTAGAAGTTAGCTTTTCAGAGGGGGTTCCTCGGTCGATTGGCTACATTACTATTTCCCAGATTCGATCACATGCTTCGTCTGAGCCAGCTGAGCTAGTTGATCCGACTGTGCCAGCTGATTCTATTGATGACCTTCTTTATGTTGATCCATCTGATTTTTCTCCTTCTTCTTCTACTCTTCCATCCACCGATATTCCATCTTCTTCTACCTCTGCTCCTCCTCCCGTGGGGTCTATTGCTCCTCCTACTGATATTCTCTCTATTCCCATTGATCCATCAGTTGCTCTTATGGGACAGATGATCGTGCTGATCGAGCAGCGGGCTTAGATGATGGCAGAGCTTACGCAGTTGCGAGCTACAGTTGATCGGCACACTACTGAGTTTACTACGCTTTGGGGGTACTGTTAGGTATATTCAACGAGGACTGCAATAGATTTTTCGCCATTGGGACGATGTTGTAGGATCGAATGATGGGACGGATACTGATGATGCTGATGATGCTTCTTAGTTGATAGATTGCCCCTTATCATTTTGTGACAAAAAGGGGGGAGTAGTTAGTTGTATATATTTTTGATGGAGTAGTTTTTTTGAGGTTGTATATGATTTTAACTACTTGACATGATGTATCCAAAATTTTGATTATATGATTAAATGATAAATTTCAGTATTGCTAATTAAATTGTGATGTTTTGTAATATCAATGTTTTTGTTTTGGTATATTGGGTTGCATTGATATTATATCTTAATTTAGCTTCTCATGTGAAACTGAAATATGCATTAACTGCTTACATCAATTTTACACTGTGAACTACTTGATTTAATTGCTTGAATTGCGTTTACACTTAACTATTTCACATACATTTTACATTGGATACTTGAGTTGTCTATTTTAGGAAACGGGTTTTGATATATAAAAAACAGAGTTCGATTAAGACAATTTTTAGTTGTGTTAGTTTTTGAGCCAGTTTTTTTACTACTGCCTTGACTTTAGATTGTAGTTTTGTTACAGAATGCCAAAGGGTGAGCTTGTTAGGTATTTAATAAAATTGGCAAGTCTGTGAACGAAATGGACTTAAATTGATATGTTGTAAAAGTCAAGGAGTAATGTGCAAATAATAGAAAGTTGTGTTATATTATGTATAGGTTCGAGAATGGAAAAGAAAGAAAAACGGCGCCAGAATATTGCTAGCTTATCGCCAAGGTTTGGCTTAAGCGTCAGAAACAGAAACTGCGTTGCCTGCCTGGCGCCTTCGCTCGAGCGACAATTCATTTTTAAAGGCTTTTTGTCTGATCCATTCATTCCTTAACCTAACCTATAAGTACCAAACACCACAGAACAATTTTTTGAAGGTTGATCATTGAACGAACACTTAGCTTTTCATATTATCTTCATCAATTACTCTTCGACATTCGTTATTCACATAGTGATCTGTTCTTAGTGGTGAGAAAAACATCAATTTCATAATCTAAATACCAAATTACTGCTTCCTTCATATCTGTCCTGTCAGAGGTTCTGAAAATCAATGGAAGGTGACCGGAGTTTCAGTCGTTGAAGAATGTGATGTTCTTCGTGCATCCAAAGGAGATAGACGATTTCACAAAGCTAGAAGTTGATGTAGGAGAGCGCAATACATGAGAGTTTTGGAAACTCCAACTGGGAGTTGGTGTAGGAATACAGAATCCAGGAAAGCTGTTAAAATTATAGTCAAGAGATCGGATAGTAGGTATCGTCGTCTAGTTTGGTAAACTATAAATTATAAATCGTTTATAGCGGATTGTTGATTGGAAAGGTACCCGATTTTTTTACCTAGTTGGGTTTCTCCGTGATCAGTTCTGTGTTATTTATTACTTTCATAATTGTCGTAATTCAATATGGGAAAATATTTATTGCATGATTAACCATCTAGAAAGTAATTAATAGTGTTTTGTTGCTATTTAATTGTAAATTAATTTTAATTCCGCATAATCACCTATTCACCCCCTCTATGTGTTGTTCGGGTCGAACTACGTATTTTCATGCTCCAAGCGTGTCCAATATCTCTCTTCTTCAATAGTACGAAATTTGTAATATTATCACACTTGGCAGTTTAGGTTTATCTGTTTTCCATACTAGCTCCACCCTTCTTTCCGCTAATTTTATTCTTTCCAATATCCTGTGTGATTAATATCAAAAATTGAAATTTATCAAGGTCTCAATTTTGTTCCTTTGACTCCACTTTTATTGAATTCTTTCCCCATTTTTTATTGTGTTGAATTTGCAAATGGGAAGGGTCTCATTTGCAGTTGGACACAATGGCATTATAAATGGTCAATGTATTAGAGTCCAAACAAGAATTATGTATGTTGATACCACTTGCTAAGAATAGAAGAAACGAGGATTATATGATATAATATGAAATAGGAATCACAACAAAAGAATAACAAAATAATATGGCAGAGGAACGAAAATTTTATTAATAATGGAGAGAAAATACAAAGAATAATGTATATTTAATACAATTCTAACTTTCTCAAAGTCATACGAAAGCCATACAATTCGTGGAATATATATATAGGACCCAAAAGAATATGTTATAGTTGAAAAGATGATAAAAAAAAGCCAAAAATAAGAAAATAGATATTTACCAAATAACGCTACCCCTCGAACTGCAGCCTAGCTTTCAATGGCGCTAGACTCTGAGTTTCGGGTCAAAAATTCATTTCTTGGCACCTAGGTGCCCTATTTGGGCACCCAAGCGCCTAATTGTTGCTACTCCAAACTCCAATTATTAAATTTGATCACTCGTTAACTCTTTTTTCAACCAAAACACGATCCCACGTTGGAATTTGGGTCGCATGTAAACAAGTCTTCATATTGACACAAATTCTATTGCAATGAACAATGTTTTAAAATTTCTCCACCCGAAGATAAATTCAACTACGAAGAATAAAACAATGGTTCTTCAACAAAAAACTCTCCAACCAAAAATTTCTCCTCCTCTTCCAAAAAGTTCAAGTAGGACAAATTCAATCAACTGAATCCAATCACTTCTTAGCAGAATTATCTAGAGTACCAAAATTGCTCAAAATATTACCATGAGCAACACAATCATAAGTAATTAAACAACAATTACCAAACAGGGTAGAGTCATACCCTATAACAGAATCAACACAACCAAATGCTCATGTTGAATGTTCTTTGCTAGACTCAATGCCTTCAACCACACTCAAAGCATAATCCACTAGATCAGCTTTTCCGCATCTTTGTGGAGGCCTAATATCTCCCATAGGTATGTCTCTAACAATTGAATACTATGACAATGTTGGTATGGTGACAAAGCGACATTACCTACAACTTCTGATTTCAACTAAGATATATTCTTTAATGGATCATGCTACATGTACCCATTTTTTTACCGAATCTTTTACCTACTACTCACAATGGGAATGTGGACTACATTGTCGGAATTTTTAAATACACGCGAGCCCCGCGCATTATGTGAGAGGGAGTAATCCATTATGTACAAATTGATTAACCCTTCTTTAATATAGACCCCAATTTAAGCTCCAATGATACTGTTTCAAATTGAATATCCACCAAACTACTAAATTTATGCTAATTGTTCTCCAATGATTTAGTCAGACCGTATAGGACATACAATTGGGATCTTTTCTGTCCCTGCAATACAATTCGGGCACTTTTGCTAATTTTTAGAACTCCACAATTATCGGCGTACTTGTACCCTTTTGAATTACAAATTCTCAAGGAGATCAAATTTCTCTTCAAATCTGGAATATGCTTCATTTCATTAAATGTCCTAACTATCCTATCAAACATTTTGATTCCGACTCTTCCAATATCAACCATCCGATAAGGTATATTATTACCCGTCACCACAACACCTTTGAAAACTTCTTCATATTTTGTAAACAGATTCCGATTGGGACACATATGAAAAAAACAAGATGTATCAAGAATCTAATTCTCATTAAGTTTGGAGCCGCCGTCAGAAATAATCAAAACCTAGTAATTTTCAACAATATTAGCTTCACCTGAATTTTTTGGTTGCTTTCCCTTCTTAATTGTAGCCAATTTTTCTATATTCTGCAACTTGTAACAATCATTCTTTATGTATCCCTTCTTCTTGCAATAGTTACAAACTTTATTACTGGAGTCAAATTTCAAATTACCCTCTCATAACACCGTCAACAACAAGGCCTCCTCCATGAATCTCAGATCCAACGAGATGCTTATTCTTCTCATTTGAAAATAACGCATTACAAAATTCCTTGATGGTGAGAGTATGAAGCGGGCAGCGAACACAACAGTATGTGTGAAGCGGGCATCGAACACAACAAAATTAACTCTAAATCTTCTTTATTGTACTTACCTCCAAGGATTCAAAATTAGCGATGATTTCCTTAAAAACAGCAATGTGATTTTCATGAGATGTACATTTTGTTATATGGTGAGATTACAACTGCTACATCAGGTGTAGTTTGTTAGTTAGACTCTTAGTTATGTATAGTTGCTCCAATTTTAACTAAAACGTAGCTAGAGTTTTCTCCTTCAAAATGTCATGAATAATGTAATTCGAAAGATGAAGATAAATTTGAGAGATGGCCTTTCAATCATTACATAGTTTTCCTCCAATGACCAATTTGAGGGCATCTTGTCAAATTCCAACAAGACATCTTCCAAATTCATTTGAGCGAGCACTGTTCGCATCTCCACCCGTCACAATGAGAATTTAGTGCTACGATCCAAAAGCGGGATACCATACTTCATGATTGTCTCAAAAATTCAACTTTAATTTCTCTATCTCATCAACCAAATAAAAGATGAAAAATTACAAAATTGTTTAGGTGAAAAATTAAGTCAGTCAAATACATTTAATTGACAAATAGTTTTTAAGCAGTTTAATTATTTAAAACTTACTTTTTTTTTTTTAATATAAATTCAAATCAAACACACTGTAAGTTCTTACATTTTTTTTTTAGGTGAGCAATCACAATAACCCAGGGGCAAAAGTGCAAATCACCCCCAATCAAACAATCGCGCCCCCCTCGCCGTCTATTTAGGGTTCTTAGATTCTCTCCCAGTTTGTCTAAGACGTACACATTTCATTCATTCTCTTGAGTTCAGTCCCTCTGTACAATCGTAAGTACCTCATCCACACCGTAAATTTACTAGGATATACAAATTTTATTTCTCAGGCTGAATGCCTTTTTGCATTTCTTTTTTGTTTATTTACTGCCCATTTTCGCCGTTGAACATACGGATAGATTCTCAGTTATTGGGTTTTCCTCTTTTATAATAAAGTCGTCTTTTTTGGGGGGTTTTTTAATTGTTTTTTTGCAATAGTTGGAAATGATTTAATGCCTTGCTGATGAAAGGGTTATTGTTGTAACTGCCTTTTCATATGAAACTTTTGGGTGGCTTTGATTGTTTGGTATTCTTTTATTTAATTTATCATTATTTCAATTGTCTTGTTTGCACCTCACGCTATTCAAAGATTTCTTGTTATGATAAGCAAGTATATTTATTTACAGAATAAAGTATAGTAATGTGTTGAATTATCAAAATGGAATCTTTTCAGAAGAAAATGTCTAAATTTAGTGCGAAAAACCTCCAAGTTTAAAGATAAGGAAAATTTTTGGATTCTAAGTCTTTTTATGTCAATATGTTTTTATATTGAATCGAATTCTCCTATGGTATGAACTAATTCATTTCGTTAATGATTTGAGGTTTAGATGTATTTCATTAGTGTGGTACTAGTTATTATGTTATTATGTTTTAGAGTTTACATTGCTGTGTTTTCTTCTTCTTCTTCAATTACAGGGGCCTCAGTTTTGAGCAGTTGTACAGATTTCTATTGGCGACTAGATTTTGTAATATTGTTGACTATCATTGATGGTCATCTTTTCTGCTGGTGAATTGCCTTCTGCTGTTTTGCCTTGTCATTTTCAATGAAAGCTGGATATTGTAATTGGGTTTCAAGCTTTACATGCGATCGAAATTCATAAAGACTTGGCTTTCTTATTGGGAAAGTGACATATTACAGTTGGTTTTCACTTGATGTGGCTACATATAATAACACCTACAGGATGCTCATATTTGAGAAAAATGAGCTAGTCTTTCTTGTTAGTCATTTTTAGGCTTTTCAAAGGTTGTGGAAACGAACAGGGATAGTTTTCCAGTGAGTGCTGTGAAAGATAGCTAAAACGGGTTCCCTTTGTTGTGTGGCTGCCAGGCCACATGGATCTAATGCCACCAGCAGGGAGTGGTCTGTGGGGCCACACGAACCCTACTGGCAAACTAATACTAGTTTTTCACCACCACCCCCAAGATGGGATTTCGGATTCCAATCTGAAGCGCTGCCATTTGGTTCTCATGATAGTATTCAATTTTATGGGTCTTCTGCATCAGCAAACAGCAGAGAAAGTGGAAATTGGGTGAGAGGTAATAATCTTGCCAATCACCAAAATCTGGTATCCGATGGAGTTGGTCCATATTTCAGTAGTCCGACCAATATCTTTTCTGAACAGCAGTCGACTCCCCCAACAATACAGGAAATCAGGGCCAATGATTATGGTAATTCAAGAAGAGGTATTAAAATCAGTGATTCAATTTCCCCCTACATTTCCTATTCTTTTGTGTAACTTAGTTCTTTTGTTTGCAGTTTTCTGGTAGTTTATGTTTTCCTTTTTATATAAATTTTACTGTTTTTTGCCACATGGATTGATTTCATCTTTAAACTGAAGTTATCTTTTTGCTACCATCTTTTAGTTTATGTTCTATGCTGGTACTTTGCTAATGGTTCCCTGCTTTCATAATGTGCATGTTTTTAAGTCTATTGTTTTTGTTTTGGTTTCTCTCTTTCGTCCTAATGCACACAAATTTTTTAGATCCAACTTTAGTGAACTAACTTAAAAACCTGATTACCTTACATACTTGTGTGTGTGTGTGTATATATATATTATATGTAAGGTGCATTCTGGTGGAAAGGCTTTATGGAAGAAAATTTAGAATGCTGAGTTATTCGTAGAAAAGGAAAAGAGAAGAACTTTTGAACTTTCCCTCGGGTTTCTTTATAATGCAATGCACAATGGTTGCCAAAGTCTTGTACAATGGTTGTTTGTTTAATAGCCCTTAAAACTCTTGACAATAACAAGCCTACTCCAAATGAAATGAAACTGTATTTTTGCTACCTCTAAAATTGTAGCTTGAGCATGAAATGCACTCCCCCTCGTAGAAAAGGAAAAGAAAAGAACTTTTGAACTTTCCCTCGGGTTTCTTTATAATGCAATGCACAATGGTTGCCAAAGTCTTGTACAATGGTTGTTTGTTTCATAGCCCTTAAAACTCTTGACAATAACAAGCCTACTCCAAATGAAATGAAACTGTATGTTTGCTACCTCTAAAATTGTAGCTCGAGCATGAAATGCAATCCCCCTCCCCAAGACACTCCCTAAAAAATTATAATGAAAATAATAAACGATCTGCAAAAGAAAAGAACAAGTAACAATAAACAATAGAAAAGTCCATGAATGATGGTTCAGCATAGTTAGCAAGCAATAATAAACCCCTTGGGGAGCACTGATCAACATATTCAGTGTGCCATTCAATGAACTTCCCTGTCCTTAAACTAAATCACAATTTCCCTGGCTTTAAGCATATTACTTTTTCCGTGTTTTGCATCATCTTCGAGTTTTGTGGTCTTTAATAGTATCTTACCAATTATCTCAGAAACTCAAATAATATGTTTCTCGTGTTTTCTTAAGTTCCACTGCATTAATCAAAGGTTTAGAACTATGGAATATATTTATATTTGTAGCATTTAAGGAAAAACAATTCATCACTTCAATTGGCAAGGGAAAAAATATTTGGCTATTCTTTTATTCGAACTCTTCTGTTTGAATCTTTCAACTTGGTGCTGGATCAAGTGGAGTTGTGAGAAGTCATGCGGCCGACCCCTAGTATATTGGGATTAATGTTTAGCAGCTTCTTCTGTTGGATTCTTCAGTTTTCGTAACATTTGCATATTTTGTGCATACCACTTTTGTAATAGTTGTGCGGATGTGTTAGTCTGATTGATCCTCAAGAACGAGTGAAATATATTGATAAATTGAGGTTCAACTGTTTGTTTTTAGTGTATTTGATGGTCGTGACAATAATATCATTTGGATGACATTTTTTCTTACAGTTTTAGGTATTTCTTTAAAATCTACACGCAGTCTGTTCATTGCATTAGCGAGCTTCCATCAGCAATAAATATCCGTATTTGTTTTACCTTATTTATACTGAACATGGAATTCTTGTTCTCTATCACTATAAAAAGGACTTGGAAGGAAATGTGTTCCCAGAAACTTAATTAGAAATTGTCCCTTTCTGTGACTTCCTATGGAAATTGAGCTCGGGCTATACTTATCTTCTGTATGTGTCCCTGCAGGCTTGGCCACTTAGTGCCATCTTAATTGAATTTCACTCTGACACTCCCTTGTACAGAAGAAAGCCTAAAAAACAAAAAGAAAATGAAACCTATGAGAGTAAATGTTATCTCTACCTTGTGCTTTTCACAAGGAGCTAATTTTTCTTATTGTAATCTTCCTTTGCTTGATGCAGTTTTGAGGCCATTATCTCTCTCACCTGCAAATGAGGTATCGCTTATGTATTTGCTTTAATCTTCTGTGAATATATATATTGTTGCAATTGAACTTTTTCACTAAAATGAAAGAATTTACAGGGAACATCGGCAGGTAGGGATTTTGGAGGCTCCACATCATCACGGTCAGACAGCAGTGATTATGATTCCATCGCCAAGTCTCATTCCTCACATCGTAACTTCTCAAGTTGCCGTTGCTTTATGTCCAAAGCAATTCACCCTTTATCCTTTCCATCAGAAACACCCACAAGAGCTACTGAAGACATGGCCGTCGGGATGTCAGAATTTGATGCCATTACTGTACGAAAAGACAAAGGCCGTTTGAGCAGTGCTAGTGGTAGTCTTGACCTCTCAGATATTTCTGAGCCACTAGAATCTGATTTATCTTGTAGACCTTGTAATCCTCCTGATAATTTCAGATGTGGATTGTGTGAGAGGTTTCTTTCTAAGAGATCACCTTGGAGTTCTCGATGGATCATTCGAAGTGGGGATATGCCAGTTGCTGCTGTTCTTTCATGCCGTCATGTATTCCATGCAGAGTGCTTGGAGCAAACAACACCGAAGGTACCCAAAAGCGACCCACCATGCCCCATTTGTTTCAAGGTTGAAGAGGAAAATTCTCCAGATCAACAGGTGTTTTCTAAGTTGATGAGTAGTTTCCCAAGGCTTAAACATTTTCGCGAAGATGGGCCATCCAAGCAATGGGGCTGCTCACAAGCAGGAGATTGTATTGAAGGGGCTTTGCATTCACCTACTCGCAACAATCTACTTAACCGAAATCGATTTAGGACAAATCTTTCCTTGAAGGGCAATTCTGGTAGGGAATTTTCGGGGAAATTGTGGAAAAATGGCTCTTATTCTACCCAATTATTTGTTGGATCAGCGGACCATAGAGCTGCTGGATCTTCGAAGACAGCAGCAGGTCCAGTATGAAGCAAGCACTACATAACTGCAGATTGGCTGGCTGTTCCTTAAGAGGGGACTTCTCGTTGTAGATGTTAATCTAATCTAAAGTGAAGATGTTTGGTTTGATATTTATGCATGAAACATTATTGTAATTTTCTGTAATTCTACATTTTTCCAAATTTTAAGCGAAAAAGATTGGAATTTGATTTTTTGTTTTTTTCATTATCCTGGATAGCTGCAACCTTCGAAAAAAAAAAGGGGCTTATTTACCTTCAAATTTGTTTATTATCAACTTTAATTGACTAAAAGATTTGTTTGCCCACGTAGGGTGTTTTTTTTTTTAAATACCATTTCTATAGACTACATCAACCATCACCAAGTTACTAATGAAGTTCCTGGTGGCTCGTCGATGAGTGCTCTTTCAAGATCTCTCTCTCAATCTTTATCTATAGTGGGTTTAGAATTTATAGTGAGAATGAATTTTATTTTGTTCGAGTAAGAAATTTTGGACTCATGATTTTGGTAAACAAGGCTGCTCCAGATTTTTGTTCAGTTTATGTAATTGTGAAAGGAAGACACTATCTGTCGACCAGCAACATGATATGCAGCCAATTTGACTCCACGTAGAATACGTTCTGTCAAGAGTTAAAGACTAATCAGCAACCACTTCATCAAGTCGTTTGCCAATTGGAATCCTTGCTGGAGATTCTTCAGTTATTGTGAATGCTAGCACTCCTGCTGTTGTAACTTATTCCAACGTTCCCCTTGATTTAAGGAACTAACAATCCTTGTGCATTTTAGAATATTCCCCTTGTAATTATTTATACATGATTGATACTGAAGCAATATATCTTGAGCTGAATTCATATCTCATTATCTTGTTTTTCAACTTGGTATCAGAGCTTATGGCCAATGCCGGTAGTATCCCTCAAAACATTGATGCAAACACAGCCCCTGCTTCCATCTCTAGTAGCAATATTGCTTCAATGCAAGGAAACCAAAATCTCTCGCCCTTTGGTATGAATTTAACCCAAGTGATATTAGTCAAGCTTGACAAAAATAACTTCCTACTATGGCAAAATATGATATTGCCTATTCTCCGCGGTCATAGCCTTGAAGGCTACATTCTGGGAACAAAGCTGTGTCTACCAGAATTTATTGGAACTGAAGTTGCTGGTAAAAGTGGAACCAGCATCGAAATGACAAGAAACTCTAAGTATAATCAATGGATATCGACAAACCAACTACTAATGGGTTGGCTTTATTCCTCAATGACCCCAGACATAGCCATGAGAGTCATAGGTGCTAAGACCTCAAACGTGCTGTGGATAGCTGTGAATGAGAGCTATGGAGTTCAGGATCATCTTCCTCACTGGTGAACTTCAGAAGGCAAGAAAAGGAACTATGAATCTTGACCAATACCTGAACAAAGTAAAGCTGCTGCCAGATAATCTAGAAATTGCTGGTAAAACCATCCCTGATTCTGATTTGATCACTTAAGTCTTGGCTGGTCTGGATGAAGACTATAATCCCATTGTTGGTCAAATCAATTTGTAGAGATAGCATCTCCTGTGGTAAATTGCAATCAACATTGATGACCTTTGAAAGTAGGTTGGAACATCTCAACACAATGAGAAATGAAATGGCTAGAATTATTCTTGATCACACTTCAGTAAATTTCTCTCAGGGTCGGGTTCAAATTATTATCACTTCAGAAATCACAGACCAATGTCCAATGGAAGATTCTCTAACCACTTCTGAGGTGGAAGAAGAGGTAGAAACAGAGGAGCAGCCTTTAATGGTGGAGACAGACCTACCTGCCAATTGTGTGGAAAAATTGGACGTAAGGCAAATATTTGTAACTTCAGGTATGATGAGAGGTACACAGGTGCACCACCAAATTAGAGAACAAGCTACAATCTTTCACCAGCAGCCTTTGTAGCATCACCTAGTATCGTGAATGACCCACTTGGTTTGCTGACATTGGTGCTAGCAACCATATCACTGCAGACAAACAAAATCTCACAGCAGCAAACGAGTACGCTGGTAAGGAAGAAATCATGGTTGGAAATGGTAATAGACTACACATTTCACACTTTGGCATGACTCATCTTCCCACCTTAAATAGCAAACCACTTGTGTTAAATAAATTGTTGCATGTACCTGAAATTCAGAAAAATCTCATCAGTGTCTCCCAATTAACTTCTGATAACAATGTTTACATGGAATTCTATTCTAACTATTGCTTTGTCAAGGACAAACTGATGAGGGAGGTGATGCTACAAGGGACGCTTAAAGGAGGACTGTATCAACTGGACTTCCCTCACCAAAACACCAAATATCACTCACAGTCACCTGCTGTTTCAAATAAACTTTACCGCAACACATTATCACTTAGTCCTAGTTTAAAGTCTAGTCAAGAGTCCTTGAATGTTCAAGCTAATGTATGGTACAAGAGACTTGGATATCCATCTAACCAAGTGATGTCTCCAGTGCTCAAAACTTGTAATCAAAGGTTAAATGAAAATGAAAGAAAATCCTTCTGTGATGCTTGCCAGTTTGGCAAATCTCATCTGCTGCCTTTTGATTCCTCACCTTCACACGCCAAAGTACCTCTTGAACTTATGCATACTGATCTATGGGGACCAGCACCGATGCAATCAGTTTCTTGCTTCAAATACTACATAACATTCCTAGATGATTTCAGTAGGTTCACTTGGATCTATCCTCTAAAGCAAAAATATGAAGCATTGAGTATTTTTGTTCAATTCAAGAAGCTAGTTGAAAACAAGCTTGTAAGGAAAATAAAAACACTACAAACTGATTGGGGAGGTGAGATAAAGTCTTCAAAAATCTCATAAACCAAGAAGGTATTGAATTCACACCCTTGCCTATACACATCAACTCAAAACGATAGAATTGAAAGGAAACACAGGCATATAATTGAAACAGGTCTCACCCTTTTAGCTCAAGACAAATGGTGGGAATCATTCCAAATTGCCACTTATCTTATTAATAGAATGCCTATACCTGTGCTGCAAATGCAGTCCCCCTTCATAGCTCTTTTTGTAAAAGAAACTAATTACAAGTTCCTAAGAATTGTTTGGTTGTGCTCTTTTCTGTTCAAAATCAACAAAACCCCGTGATACCAGAATATGTGGTTTCCTACTTCCAATTCCCACATAAGCCAAACGATACTGAACCTATCTCATGTCCTGTTGATGCAGCCATTCCTGAAGCCACTAATGATGTACATCACATACCCTTCAGGTCAAGTGACAGTATAACTAATAATGGAGATGAAAATAGAAGTGATGATATGATCAGAAATATGAGTAACCAAGTGGTAAGTCAAGGTGAAAAAACTGAATTTGAGTTGCCACAGATTGGGCCACAGAATGATGAAAATTCTGGATCAGACTTCACTTGTCATCAGCAACAAGCCAGAGACTTAATAGAACATCCTATGATCACAAGAGGAAAGGCTGGAGTTTTTAAACCTAAGGTATACTTGGGAAAATTATCTGGGAACAACTCTGAAATCTCAACAAAAAGTGTGGATGAAGCCATGATGAACAGAGAATGGAAGAGAGCCATGGAGGAAGAATTCAATGCTCTAATGAAAGCAAAGACCTGGAAGCTGGTGCCACCATCACCAACTTACAACATAGTGGGAAATAAGTGGGTCTTCAAAGTAAAACACAACACTGGTGGATCTGTTCAAAGACTGAAGGCGAGGCTGGTAGCAAGGGCTTTCATCAAGAGCCTGGAATTGATTTATACAAAACCTTTAGTCCGATGATTAAACCATCAACCTTAAGAGTCATACTAACTATAGCAGTCTTGAAGGGATGCACAATCAGACAAATAAGTATCAATAAAGCCTTCTTGAAAGGTGAAGTTGAGGAAGTGGTATAAATGAATCAACCAGAGGGTTTTAGAGATGCATCTAGACCTGATCATGTCTGTAAACTGGAAAAGGCACTTTACGGGTTGAAGCAGGCACCTAGGGCCTGGTATAACAAACTGAAGACAACACCGATGAATTGGAAGTTTAAACAATCAGTAGCCGATACATCACATTCTATTTTAAAAACGAAAAACAAGTCATTTTTGCACTCATCTATGTAGATGGCATTGTGGTAACAGGAAATGATACTTAGCTGCTGCAAGGATTCATAAATAAACTGAACAAAAGATTTGCACTCAAAGATATGGGACAACTTCACCGTTTTCTGGGAATCGAAGTACTCTGGCATGACTCAGGTCTTCTCTTAACACAAGCAAGATATATTGCTGAACTATTAAGGAAATTCGAATTGCAAAATCTGAAGCCATGTCCAACTCCCATTCTAGCAGGCAAAACCATGTCAAAGGCTGATGGAGAACCACTGAAGAATCCCTCAACCTATAGAAGTGCAGTGGGAGGACTGCAATATCTCTCTCATACTAGACCGGATATCACTTTTGCTATGAATAAGTTGAGTCAGTTTCTGCAATCCCCAACATCAATTCATTGGCAAACACTAAAAATAGTACTCAGATACCTAAAGGGAACTATAAATCAAGGACTTTGGATACAAATAAGTGATAGACTTAATTTAAAGGGATACTCAGATACAGACTGGGCTTCCTGCCCTAATGACAGAAGATCAACTAGAAGATATTGCATCTGCTCAGGAGAAAATCTGGTTGCTTGGTCTTCAAAAAATCAACACGTAGTTGCTAGATCATGTACAGAATCGGAATATAGAGCCATTGCTTCAGCAGCCTCAGAAATAGCTTAGATTCAATCACTCTTTAAGGAACTTGAAGTGCCACAGGTATCGGTTCCAATCCTATGGTGTGACAATATGAGCGCTAGTGCCTTGGCAACCAATCTAGCATACCATGCGAGAACAAAGTATATTGAATTAGACGTCCACTTCATCAGAGATAAGGTTCTTGGTAAAGAATTAGAAGTCGAATATGTACCCTCCTCTGATCAAATAGCAGACCTGTTAACTAAAGGTCTCACTCATTCAAGA